AAAAAATAAAAAAGAGCAGGTTTGGCTTTTTGTAGACACACTTCCCACTGCAAGAAAGTGTGGGAAACCCCAGTGGGGCTAAAGGAGCCATTTTGCCCCAATCTTTTGATTGCTCTTCCCTGTCCAGGTCTGTACCCGCCATAGACCCAGTGATGTCTCCCGTGGTTTTCAAAGTTACGACCACCTGAAATTGTGTTTAGATGAGAATAGCAGCTTTCATTAATGTCTAACACGTCCCCTGTGTGCCCAAAACGCTCAGAAAGCCGAAGAAAAATTAAAAGCCATAATGTATTTTTTTATTCTTATTGATTTTTAAGCCTATCTCATTTTGGAGAGCTGGCTCATAATTTTGGAGCGCTTGTGGGATAGTATAAGTACCCGAGGCCTCATGGTAGGATTGTACAAAGACTTTTGCTCATGTTTTATTTTTCAGTAACCTTCATAGCTAAACCCAGTCTTGTGGAGAAGAGTTTTTAATATTCAGACTGACAAAAATAATTACCTTCCAGTATTATGCGATAAATCACCTGTTAGGGCCATGGCATTGGAGTTCACGTGGGCAAGCTGGCCAGGACAGACCTCCAGTGAAGTGTGGGGACCAGCTACCCGATCCCAAGGCATTCCTGCTTTTCCCTGGGTGTTACTGTACCACTCTGGACTAAACAACAGAATACTGGGAGCCCCAGGATGCACTGGCATCTCCTGGTGTTCATGAGGAGGCTCGGCTAGCTGTGCAGGGCACACCATGAACCCAGCGGCTCCACGTGCACATCCTTGCTCAGGAAGCCGTGCTTTAATCAAGGCTCTGGGATCCTTCCTTTGCTTGCCTGGGGCGGGGGGGATTTTAACTCTAAACACATTAGTGTGCGAGATTGAAAGGTAACGTGTCCTCCCGGGGCTGCCGAACAACGGAAAGGAGCCTGGGTTTCATTTGCACAGAGTGCGCAGTGGGAATTTCCCTAATCAAATAAAAAGAAAATGAAAAACTCACTCTCTCCAAAAGTTTAATTCTCTTAATTACATTAATTGGAGAAATATAGGAACCTCCTTTGCACGCCTTTCTTCTCTGCAGAGGAGAAGGGCTGCAGGAAGGGACTTTTTGTGCATGAGGGTGTAAGCTGGACCTGCATCTGCTGGCAGGATGGGATGGGGATGGAGGAGGGACAGCAGGGATACTCTGTGGTCTTCCTTACCCCAAAAAGAGAACCAATAAATTATGTTTCCTCCACCCAGATCTTGGCCTGGGTAACTCTTCCACTGTCAGATGATCCATTCATCCCTCGGAAATGTAATGGGGATTTTCTCTGGCCCTCACCTGATTCCCATCAGGTATCAGAGCGGAGATGGGGAGCAGAGTGACTTGTCTCACCCCTGGCTTCTCCAAGGCAGCTGGGAGGAGGATGTAGCCCTGGAGGGGGTTGTGCTGTGGGCTGAGGTGCTCTGTCAGCCCCGACCATGGGCACTCCCTGCCAGGTGCTGCCCACCTGCACGGCCTGGCCCCACCGCTCCGCCAGCACACGGGCTCCTTTAACGCCTCCTTGGGGAGAGCAGGGAGGTGACATCATGTCGAGCAGCAGAAGAGAGGGGGAGCTGCTTCCGCCCTGCTCTGCACAGCCATGGCCCCCAGGAGCCCCCCCGGGATTCATCCCGTCGGCTTTAACTCCTTTGCTACCAGAAGGGAGGGAGGAGCTTGCAAAACTGCCGGCCGCAGGGCTGGATGTGTGTGTTGCCTGTCCCCACTGCTGGCCATCCTGAGCCAAGTGGGGATGTTCACTGCCTTCACTGGGACCATCCCCCAGTCCCTCACAGCAGGGAGATGACAGGGAGCAACAGCATAAATACATCAAAAAGACCTGCAGATGTGTATTTCCCAGCCCTGCTTGAAAATCAGTGCCTTTGGGAAATATGGAAGGAAGAGGGGTTTTGAACTTGAACCTACCCCAGGCTCTGGCTGAAAGCAGCCTGACCCCCACCTAATCTGCCTCCAGCTTGCTGGAGGAAAACAAACCCTAAAGTGGGAACACGCATTACTCTGCACTTGGGCAAAATGCCTTCCTCAAATGGTCGTAATTCAGGTTTCCTGGGGCACCCAAAGGGACCTGGGGAGGGTCAGTGTTGGGGTGAGCTGGGGAAAACTGAGCTGGGTTGGACGGCAGCATCCCCCTCTGCACGCCAGCTCCCCGGCGGTCGGCCAGAGGCCTGCTCCCCACTGACACCACAGCAGGAAAGGTGACTCTATAACTATAATTTTAATATATAATGAGAAAAGTCTGTGTTTACTAAAAAAAAAAAAATAAAAAAAAAAATAAAGAAAATGGACATAGCCACACCATTTGGCTGAATGCTTTTCTTGGGTTAAAAAAAAAAAAGAGGAAAGGAAAGACCCACCTTTGTAGGGGAGATCACGTCTGGAAAATTCCAGTCCAAATGACATAAGTTATGAGCAATTGAAAATTTGGATTAGAAGGGAATTGAGCACGAAACCTCAACTATGAGCATCAGCATCCTGCTCACAGGTCCCCATCGCCCGAGCAGAGGTCAGCAGCGGGATTGTTCCCAGGGCGCAACCCCTCCACGCTGCTTTAGGGCCTGGGGAGGGGAGAAGAGGGAATCCTCAGGTGCTACAGGATGCTGGTAGAGCAGAGAAGGTGGAGGGGAGCCAGGTAAAATCCAGAGCATTCCTGCTGAGCTGTGAGCATCAGCAAAAAGCTGCTCTAAGACAACATAAATTACCCACAGCAAAACCCTTTACCCCAAACACCTCCCGTTCTCTCCTACCATCTCGGGGCAGGGTTGAAGCTACAGCCCAACCCTGGGCTGCACACAAAGCTGAACCTGCTGAACTCCTGTTGTTTCATGCTGGCTTAGCTCAGCTGGGGCAGCTTTGTGCCAGAAGTCTCCTAACCGAATTTACTCCTGGCTTGCCTCAGGTCAGGCTGTGCCAAGAAATGCACAGGTGCAAATTAAATCAATATACCTGGTGTGGGGAGGGAGTGGGGGGGCAGAGGGTGTCTCTGTGGAAGGTTTGCACGGCTGTCACCAAATTGGCTTTAAAGCCAAGTGAAGCCAAAGTGCTGCAACTTCCGTTTCAAAGCAGCCATGGGTCTGCAGGGCTTTCCCAGGCCAGCACAGCTGTACCTGCCTCTAATGAGGGCTGGAGACACAACAGGACACCAGCAGGAGCACCCTCAGTGTCCCCACTCCTGGGGGACAGAGACGTTCCCGTCTCATTTTGCACAGCTGCAAGAGTGCTGGCAGCTCCATTGCCCCCAGGGTAAGATATCAGGAGGGGGTTCTGCCCTGGCTCCCTTGGCTCTGCTGAAACCTGTTGCAATACGTGAGGCTGGATGCAGCAGGGTCTCCACCTGGACAAGGTCCCTATGGGATCAGAGAACCCCAGTGCAAACCAGATCCAGTGGCAACAACAAATAGGGAACTGCTCTTTTTTCTGGGCAGCTCTGCCCCAGCTCCACCCCATGATGCTCCTTCCCTGATAGCTGCTGGTGCTGGAGATGCTCCTTTCTTGAGCTGCCATCCATGTCCCTCACTCCCTTAGTGCCCCAATCCTCCCTGCATTTCAGCATCATCAAGAGGATGAAGGTGAGAGCTCACTGTCCTCCCTGCAAGCTCCCATGGTGGAAGGCCACCTCACAAGCCTCCATGCTACGAGACTACCTCACAAGCCATGGTAGGAGATTACGTTGCAAGCCCCATAGTGGGAGGTTGCCCCAAGCCAGGCCCAGAGCTCTCTTGACAGGGCAAAGGTGGGCCAGTGGTTTTATTCCCACTAGCACAGAGGGTATGGCAGCCCTGGGCATGCAGTGACAACCCCGAGCTCAGCTCTTGCAATTCCCTGCAGGATGGTGTGGCCATGTCATGAACAAAATGGTGTCAGGGAGTGGGGAATTGTTAGCACAGCTTTGGGCTTGGTAGCTCTGCTAAACATGACTTTGGGAGGCGTGGGGCAGGGACTGTTCCTGGTCGACAAGGTGGACATGGCCCTATCTGGGATGCTGCAAGAGTTTGGGCTGCTCGGCTTCAGCAGCTTCTCCAGCCAAGCTGTGGCCAACAGCCAGAAATCACATGAGTCTCTGGGTCTGATCCATACAGGCCAGCACTTACTCTATGGTGTAGCCACAGAGGAGGGGATTCAGCAGCCCAAACACAGCAGTTCCTGCCAAAGTGGGTGCCTGTGCTGCCTTCCTGGGTTCATCACAGGGATTAACCTGCCTGTGACACCATGCCCTAAGGCATGCAGATACCCATGGCAAGAGCCACCCTGTTCCCAGGCCCCTGTACAACAGAAACTAGAGATGCCCTTTGTCAAGTGAGGGCTCATTTGGGAGCCAGGTCTTAATCTGGGAGTCAATGAACCCAGCTACAGACTGTCCCCAGTTTGTTTTATTATCTGCATTGTTTATGGGCCCCCACACATGGCCCTGACAGTGAGAGGGGACGTTGCACCCCTCTGGCAGTGCTATGCACCCCCTGCATCAGCCCCATAAGCCAGTATTGGAGGGCATCCATGGACAGCATCACCCCCCTTAGCGAGGGCTGGGAGAAAGATGGGATCAGTGGTGTTATTTTACTTAATTTATGACTAAATGCCCCCAGAAGAGTTTAGCCCTTATTACTGAGATATAATGGCCTATTAAGGGAGCAGCATTCCCTGGAAAGCAGCCCAGTGTCAGTGACTCCTTATTGCGATAAGAACTTAATAATCACACGTGGGGTGAGGACAGGAGGAAGCCCACAGCCTGCCCATGGCGCAGCACAGGGGCTCCTGCCTGCGTGGGGAAGGGGGGTGATGGGAAGCCCCTCTGGGGGCTCTGCTGATGGAGAAGGAAATCCCCGTGCTTGTAAATCTGTAATTCCTCACTAAATGCTTCGTAATGACAACAAATGTAAAGTAGTGTCAGAAACCCCTCATTTTCTTTTACGGTAAAGTCATGTCCCAAAGCCAAAGAAAGGAACTAAAGAAAAGCTAATTGCTCACTCACTGTTTAAAACGTGCTGGTCTTCAGCATCTTTGCAGCTCCTTCGATCTGTTTTCCATGTTGTCCTACGAGCAGGATGGAGAGCTTGAGCCCTGAGTGTCTCCCACCCTTGCAATCAATTAATTTCAAATTTAGCTTTCAGAAGGAGGAACCCCCCCTCCTCTACCCTCATTTCTCAGCACATCGTTTGCTAAGTGCGATGGTCTCATTTGCTTCTGGGTTTGTTATTGAACAGGGAACATTTTCTCAGCAAAATGTAAGGCTGAGCGATAAGGACTGGGAAGGAACTGATAGAGACTTTGCAGATCGAATATGATGTTGTTTATTTGACTATGATGTATATTTAAAGGTCTCAGTTACAATTGGCCCCAGGCACTCTCTAATGAGCTGCAGCTGCCTGGACTCTCATTAGCTTTAATGACATCTTCTCAGTACATTTTTCTTGGGGTAAGACCTTGTCCTCTCTATGGTTGTGCACACACTAAAACCAAGAGACATCTCACCCTAAAAGGGCAGCCAACTCAAAACAGTGGAGCAGTGATAAATGATGCAAGTGCCCAGAAGAGACAAACCTTTCCTGGAAGAGTCATTGTTTATTTAAGGCAAACTAAATGTAATTTACTTTGGCACGCCTTAGAATTAGACCAGGAGGTATTTGCGCCGAGGCTCAAAAAGTGGGTAACAAAGTCACTGTGTGTGTTCGGCAAAGATCAATTTGCAATTTCCCTGATTTTTGCCATTTGCCTTACTCAATGGGCAACCATCTGCCTTCCCAAGAGCCACTTTCCAAGGTAGAAGAGCGGCAAGAAAAAAGCCTGGATTAGGAAAGGAGGTGAGAGGAGCAAACACAAGCCCCAGTGTTAGGCAGCACCTCCCTGCTCCCGTTCCTTGCCGGCGAGCACTCTGGCAGGCTGCTGCCTATTGATCCTGCCTCTCCATGCGGAGCCCCGTCCTTTTTTTTTGCTCCGGGTATGTCTTCTGGTGCTCTGCCCCTACCGCCAGCGGAGGCCTTATCCGACTTCCATCTCTTCTTCGGAGAATTGAGGGAGCAGTCATTAATCATCCGAGCTGTCCCCTCCGTGGGAGCACAATGGCCTTCTTTATCCTGCACTTCAACAGCCCTGACATGTACAATAACAATCAGCCTTGACGTATCTGTATTGCACCAAAGAGACTTACTCAAAGGGTTCTTTTGCAACATTTAGGGTTGTAGTTAAAATATATTGGTGTATTGTAAGGGGAGAGGTACAGATCATATCGGAGATGTATACGGGTTTCTAGGTAGCAGGGCAGCATCGCACAAACATTTTTCTGGCTGCGTCGCTAACCCTGGCAGCGGAGGTAGAGCTGACTGGTGCAGGGAAGGTGATACGTGCTGTCATGGGGTGGTTTTCCATCCCTACTGTTTTCTCAGGGAATCTTTCTAGCGGGGAAGTTTGGCTGCTTCTTACTGAGACGTGAAGAGCTTAGGAAATTCCTCTCCCAAAATGAGCTCTGCTGCCATGACGGGCAGTAAGGCACCATCTCAGCGACCCAGGGGAAAATCAGATGAAACCAGTATCTCCCAGTTAACGTCTTCAGACGAGTCCTACATTCATGGATTTCTCCCCTGCAGTGCAGCATAGTGGAATTTTGTCCCCAGTACTCCCAGCAGAGACACAGAAGTGTGCAGGAGCTGCTCATAGGATTTATCTGAGGGAGTGTTTGGACCTCACCACCACCACCACACATGTGCACCAAATATCCATGGACACAGGGCAGGAGAAGACAAGCTGAGTATCACAACTCCTGGGCATGAGGGGGACAGGAGAGTGGGGAAGAGAGAAGGGAAGGGAACCACAAAGGACAGCAGAAATGCTGGTTGAGAAAGCAGTGAGCTACCTTCACCCATGTTTAATCAGTTGAAAGTTGTGATAGGAATTTCTAAGCCCTCCTTAAATTCCTGGGCTCCAAAATGCCACTGAACTAGCAGAGGTATTTCTGGACAAGTTGCAGGAGCTCCCAAATAACCAGGGAACACTAAAAAAATACAGAAAGGTGGGGGTGGGGGAAATAAAAACAGGAAACAGGTGGGATTTACTTTTCCCTTTCCCCCCCTCGTCGTTTCACTGCTTTCTGCAGGGGCAAGCTGCACCTCTGAAGCTCAGATTAAATAGCTTGCTACAAAATAAAAATGCAAGTGAGTTAACAAGCTCTGAGATTTAGGGAGACGCCACTCCGGGAGATACGCGCGTAGGTTACCGGGGCATTTCTCAGCTGTCCAGACCCCGTGGGTAACTGCTTTGCCCCTTCCACCGCCAGTGAAACCTAAGCCTGTCATTTCCTCACAGCCAGGCAAGCTGCTCTCACTCAGCTGTCCCAGCAGCCAGGCCTCCATTTGGGTTTGCCGCTGAGTATCCGATGCCCTGCTCTGCCTGGGAGCAGCCAGGCCTAAAAAAGCAGCAGTAGCAGAGCAAATATGGGGATTATTTCAGTTCGATGGCCTTTCTTGAAATAACAAATTGGTTTCAGTCCCCTGTACTGGATAAATGGGTGGCCAAAGCAGAGCTGGGGGAGCTGCAGGGGGGTGAAGTTGTCCTGGGACCCCCATGCTCTCCCTGCAAAACTACTGACCTGCTCCAGAGCAGGCAGACAGGGAGGTTTCCTTGGCACCAAGCGAACCGTGCCAAGCAGAGCTGTGCATGCTGCCCTTTTGCTCTTACCCAGGAACCTATATTTTTTAAACACATATTTTCTGCTAGCTGCCTCCAGGGACTTTTTTTTTTAATATATATATTTATTTATTTCCTTCTTTCTTCCTGAAGAAATGCAGGAATCAAAAAGCACACCTCTCACAGCACACAGTGACCTGGCGAGTGCCAGTGCTGGTGCTGCTGCTGGATCTGGTACAGCCAGAGCCATGCTGGGCATGTGCTCTGAGCAGAACCACCCTTGGCAGCAAAAGTAGCTTTTCCCTCTGACATAAACCACACTCAGATCCAACCTCTCATTCTCTCTCCTTGGTTCTCCCCCAGCCTCTCCACGGAGGAGTGCTGGGTGCCCGTAGAACTCTTGCTGCCAAGTGCCATGGGTGGACGTGGGTGATCCACCGGCTGAGCTGGAGGCCCAACAGATGCTTCCTATTTTATCATGTTTTGATGCAGTGGTTTGATGCATAATTAGAATTATAAATTTATCCCATCCTTCCTCCCACAGCCATGAATTACCCTGATCTCCTCACCAGTCTTTCATCATTTGCAAGTGTTGTAGATGTGGTCGAATTTGGGGTGGGAAGGTCTGTGCACCCCTGGCCACGTGGCATCATCCCACCATCCCGACAAGGGAAGGGCATTCCAAACCAAGGATGGCACACTGTGAGCAGCTGGTGGAGGTGAGGGAGATTGTTTTGGCAAAGCATCCCGGGAGCACTGGGTGAGGTTGAAAGGACTGATGAGCTCTGTCCTTCTCCTGCTGCGAGCTGCAGACCCAAGCACAGACATTTCAGCTGGTCGGGACTTGCACATCAACATATCTGTTCCTCCAGGTTTTGCTTTCCAGCCTTTCCCCGAGTAAAGTCTCGTGCTGCTCTGCAGCATGCTCAGGCCCCAGGCTTTTTATTATTTCCAAGGTCATTTGCTCTGCAGTGGGGCTGGAAAGCAGAATTGCCTTCCCTGCGCTGTTTATGTCTACCAGATACACACTACTTGCTTTTTCATTTGGATTCATTTTCTGTGCTGTCCTGAGAGAAAGGAGCAAAGCAATTTTCTATTTACTGCAAAATTCCAACTGAGCAATTTTGTGGATCTGGAGATTGTCAGGAAGAGGTTACTGGACTGTGTACACAGAGGAGGAGGAGAGCAGAAGTGATAGGAGTGCACAGAGCAGGAGAGGCGATAGCTAAAGCTTTTGCAGTCCCATCCCTGTCTCAAAAAACCTTTGCCTAAACACCCAAGACTGGTAACTATTACTGGATGTGTGAGTAATTCCTAGATAATTTTTTAAGTATTTTGAAAAAAACAATGCATAATGAAAACATTACGTTATTGTCGTGCTGCTGACACTGTTGGCCAGATTCTCATCTGCTGTGAATCATACTCTCGCCTTTGACTTGAGCAGAATTATGTCTTATTTATCCCAGCTGAGGATCAAATCCATCAGCCAGCACTTTGCATCGCAGGTCAGAGCGAAGTTCTGCCTAAAAAGCTGGTGAATTCCGTGGTGCCGGCCCATGGCAGCCAAGGCCACAGACTCCCAGCTACAGCTGGCTGCTGTTGCCTCCAGCCCAAACTGGATGGAAATGAGCTTTGTGCACATCTCCTGGTACTGGTGAGGGCAGGCAGAAGCTTTGCTGGATCCTTCGGATGGGAGTTCAGCAAGGGCAGGGCTGCAGCCAGGGAGCTGAGGAGCGCCTGGCTGGCAGGAGGAAAGGATAAACAAGGACTGGTTAGTAGTTTGCCGACATAGATTAATTCCTATATGTTTTTTAGAACCTAGAATAATTTATTGTAATTACTGTTGACTGAGTTGTGTTTGAAGAAGGCAGCACTGTTTAAAAGGATTTTTGAAAGGTATTGAATTGGGAGGCAATTATTTTTTAAGAAAAAATATGTTTAAGGATTATAAAAGTAATTACTACCCTCAAGCCAGGATGTCTAATTATGTTAAACTGTGGTTTAAGACAGCGCAACTTTCAGTCTCTTCCTTGGGTGGCTCATGCAAGAGCAGAGTGCACGTGGCACAGCCAGGGCAGGGCTCAGCACGAGCAGGGATGTCCCCGTGGCACCACAGCAGTGATGCAGCCCTTGTAGGGACACAGGACAGACACACAGGGATGAACATGGGGCCAAAGGAAGCAGGGAAAAAGTGGGGGAAAAGGGAGAAAGGGGAAAATCGTGAGAGCACTGGAAGTGAGGGACTGTGGGCACCAAGTTGGCACCCCCATCATCCCAGCCTTTAGGCACAAGCCAGACTGATGCCTGTGGGGAAGAGCTTGCTCTTGCTTTGGGGAACAGGCACACTGACCCCTCTGGGGCCTCTTCCTGCCCTGTTTTTCTCTGTTTTCCTCTGGGAGCCCTTCACAAGCAGCAAGAGAGAAGTATGCGTTTATTTTTCAAGCTTGCCTTTTGACTCCAACTCCCCTCTGTTCTTCTGCCAACATGTGAGAAACAAGTTCAGGTTTAAAAGGCAACCTGAAATGTGCATGCACGCACAAAACAGTTTTATTTTTATAATGCCGTGATTTATGAGCCAACTTGGGGCAGGGGGGGAATTTCGCTGGTGATTTCTGAGCGTTTGAAGGCTGCCCACAGCAGGAGAGACAGCCAACATCCTACATGCCAGGGAAGCAGCTGCCACAGGCAGGGG